TTTAATTTTAAAATACGAAATTTTTTCAATAATAAGATTTTTTAATTATATTGTTTTAATTATTTTTTGTAAGTTGAATATCGTATAATAATATATAATGAAGATTATTAATATTAACAAATTATTTATAATCGAAATTTTTTAGATAAAAATGTATTAAAATATCGAGCAAAATGTTGAGATGTAAAAATTATGCAAAACATTCTTTTAAAAAGATATTGTATCAAATAAGTCAATTTTCTATAAAAAGACATTACACAACGTGTGTACTTGTAGATCCTGCAACATCATAAATTATATATTTCAATTCATGACAATTTTCAATAAATTTTTTATGATAAATTTCAAAAGATAGATCTCTTTAAAAAATTAATTTCTTTTTTTCAAATGTTGAACAATAAAATAATAGAAATGGAAAATTTTAATTAATTAATTAGTTTAATTAATTGTTGATAAAATTTTTCTAATAATTATAATTCAATTTTAAATAATTGTCCAATATTATTATATTCATAATTAATTTTGATTATATTCATAATTAATTTTGATTAAGGCCAAAACATTGTTATATAAAAATATTTTTTGATGTTTATTTATTAATTTATACGCAATTTAAATTTGTATTAGATGAAGCGAAACAAAGATAAAATCTTTGTTACATTATCTTTTATCTCCTCATTATATCTAAAACAAATTTAAATTGTATATAAATAAGTTTTAATGGACATTTTTATATAGCAATTTTTGTGTTTGTTTTAATCATTTATATCAAAACAAATGATCTAAAATCGATCATTTATATTTTACGAATATATTAACATCCTATATATATGCGCTAATGGTTAACAAAAAGTTTTATATCTGTGGTAGAATAAAGGAGGAGAAATACCCCTTTTTTTCCTTTATCGATATGATCTTATCTGTGATGTAATATTTTTGACCAATATGCGTGCTCGTTTTTATGAATGTATTGAATCTGTCAAAATTAATCAATCAGATTAGCATTTTTTTTTTTAGAAGATTTTTTGTAAAAAAAAAATAATATGTTTTAAAATATGTATATTTTAAAATATATATTTTAAATTTTTTAAAATTATAATATATATACAATAATATTAAAAATATAAATTAATTGTTGTTAATATTTTCAAAAAATTATGAAAATAATTGTGAAACTATTATTTCTATAATTTTTGAAAAATGATCAAATTTAAATTTGATTGATATTATCTATATATTTTTTTATCAAAAATATATACATAAAGGCTCAACGAATAATTATTAAGTTTATTGAAAATTATTCTCGATTTAAAAATTTATATATATCTTTCCTCTTAAAATATTACGATTTCATTTCGATTTTTTTATTTTGCCTCTAAATATAATTAGCATTGTCACTGATTTATCTTATAATTATGCTTACTAAAATATCACATTATTTAGGAAACAATTTTTTTGCAATTTACGTGAAAAACTCAAATAAATTTTATTATTGCAATTATACTATTTTATATATATTTCAAATTATATTTTAATTTCATTTTTTTCAAATTGTTAAACTTCATTTATTCATTAAATTCAAATTGATATCATGACATGCAAAATTTTATTTATTGACAAATGTACTATTTTCTTAATTTTTTTTTAACTTATCTAAATACACAGAGACGCATGGAAGGTTGTGTCTTCAGCTGTCTGTTAACAGTATCACAGGATATCATTACGAAATTCACATCTCGTCGTTTTTGCGCAGTAGAACGAGGTATCAACTTTGTAAAGCAAATTTAGGGGAATCATTTTTTATAGATTTCTATTTGGAACAGATTGACTTTAAGCATAATAGTTATAAACGATTCTGATACGATGTAGTTCGTTTTCTGAATAAGTGTAGATTTTCATTTCGAACGCTTACGATTTTAAAAATTCCCTCGAACGCGTGTAATCGATATAGGTGACCTACTTTGAAATCGCTCTGTATGGAGTAAAGTAAAAAGAAATCTTCATTTTTTTAAAGAAAAAGAAGAATAAAGATATTTTGAGTATTTGGAAAAAAATATTTAGAAAAGTAAGAAAAAGAATAATATTAATAATAAAATTAATCTAGCAAATAAAATGAGATTTAGATCTTATAAATTGATCTTATAAAAAAGAATCATATATAAGTATTATTAAAAATTTTTCAAAGTATTTTTTTTCAGAGACATAAAAATAGATGTCAATATGTATTACTTCTTAACGTTACTATAATTAATTACACGTAAAAATTTAATGAAAAAAAAAAATAAATAAATTAAACGATAAACGAGATTTGATAAATATTTATTTGATAATTTTTACATCTCATTCACAATTTGAAACTAAAACAAAATTTTTTAATATATAATAAAATTTTCAAATTTTTAAAAATATTAAAAATACGAATCTTGCTACTTTTTTAACATATCAAGATTTTAATATATTCAAAATAAAATTCTTTAACACTATAATTATATTAATATTTGTTCAACACGTTACAAGTTTCTTGATGCATCATGTAATTTGAATTATATAAGCTTGATAAATTTTTAAATGGTCAATACGGCCCTGTAAAATGTAGCGCCTGTTTCAAAACGTCTCGATGCTCGGCACCAGTCTCGCTTAGTCAGTTGGCGTCGCGACGCCGTCGCCAGAGGTATTCGAGAGTCATACACGATACAATTGCCGGGTATTCTCTGTTTCTGACATAAACGGGGATAATTATTCAAAGAGACATTCGGTGTATGCGAACAGTGAACATCACAATTCAATTTTCACCTTTGTTCCAGCTACGAGAAGCTGTTTCTTCAAGGAGGAAATCAGATTCATAAAGTGAAAAGTATATTAACGAATTAATATTTAATGAAAAACGAAATTAAGACTGCGTGGAACAGTTAAATGTGAAGATTCTAGGCACAGCATCTCAGAGGATCACATCTTTTGAAATCATAAGTCGAATCACGTTATATACATTGTGTCAATGTAGAGTGCATTATCGATGAGCCACGAGCTTTTCAACTTTGTCCCAATCGTTCCCAGGAGGAGGGTTTAATTCAATCATCTAACGTGCTAAGGATCATTCGTTCTTGATACAAATGACGCGCATCAAGATAACAAAGGACACGACTGATATGTTCTCAATCAGAGTCAAATGACGAACGAGCCTCGTGATTCCTTCGATTAGCAAGAAACGAAGGAATAGGATCAAACAGAGAGTGAACGAAGGGATTCTTCTTATTGAAGAATATCCTGTCGAAGGAGAAAAGTGGAAAGAGACGGCAATTAGACTTATCAGACTTATATAGCATTTCATCGATGATAATCAGTGAGATTTGTCAAGTCAACGTTATAGTTTGATCGTTGCACAATTTGTACAACTGTTAAATATGTACATATCGTTTGGTGATATTTGTTGTGAATAGATGTTTGGAAAATTCTAATATGTAAACCCAAGCTAGTTTAATAATCATTTAATGGCTTAATTAGAGAAGCGTTTAATTAAAGAGAAGTATCTACAAAAAGCGGTGAATTCGAGATTTCATCTCCAAGAGAGTTTTAAAAGGTTGAATTTCACGAGAAAGTAAATTATTGTTTTAAAATTCTTTAAGAAAAAAAAAGAAATAAATATGAAATCCTAGAAGAAGCATCATATTATATCTTCAAGTGAAAAAAACGATGTTTATATATTTGATTAATTAGCTATTTCAAAAACAAGATTTCTCCAATCAAAATTTGTTTCGTTTTAATTTTCCGTTTGATCAAATCCTCGAAAGACCTTGTGCGGTATTTTTCACTATTGTTAAGTTAGAAGCTTTTTGAATATTTCTCATCTCCTCGTCAACATTTCTTTCTCCTTATCACTCTTTTTTTAGGTAACGAATACAGAACAACCCTTGCTAAAACAACCCTTAAATCAAAATTATTCGAGTACCTGGTACCTAAATTTGTCGAGACGTTCGCGGACAGTTAATCTATTTATTGCTAAGATGCATCCAGGGTCGTTGACCTATGGTATGTCGCTCGAATAATTTTAGGCAGTCACGAATTTGGAAATTAACTGTGCCACTGAGCTCGAAATTAAAAAGGAGGAGCATGGTCAAGATCAATGAATACTATCCATGTACTATGACACGTGTCTGTTCTTTTTAATCACGAATGATTTATGTACGATATGTTTTCAACGCTTATTTTCTTCCACTTTCTTATTTCATAAATTTACAAAATATTAAAATGAAAAGTAAAAATTCTGAATGAATTATTGAAACTGGAACGGTGATGATACATCCTCGAATTTTTTTAGAATTAATAGCATATTAATCAAGGACGATATCGTCTTAGATTATCTTAACACACGGTGGTTTTATGTAATAAGTTAAAAGACATTCTACAGAAAGATTCAAGCATCTTGGAATATACTCGAATATATGGAATATATTTGTAAATTTTCGAAGCATATTCGATTATTATTCGACGACCCGATTTCTGTGGTAAATTCCGCGTGGAATTTTGATTAAGACTTGCCAACCGAATTCACCATCATGATTTATTTATACGCATGTTCTCAAATGAAATAATATTGGATTCGAAGAAAGTCGCCTTTGCTGAAGATTCTCTATCAATTTTCAACGCTGTTCAAAGCATAAAATATTATACGTGATGTATTTTGTAATAAATGTATACGTGATTTAATAATCCAGTCAATCTTCTACTAGAATACTTCCTTAAAGATAAAGATAGTGTTAATTGAAAAAACTCGAAATATACCATTCGAAGAAACAATAGAGAAAAGAAAGAATGATGATTTATTATGATTCTCTGATTCTTTATTTCAAGTGAGAAATCTTTTGAAAATTAAAAATATTTTAAATTATATTAGAAACTATATTAAAATCGAGGTCAATTGTGATTAAATTTAATATTATACCGTAAACGGATTGTTATTTTTTTTTTCCTTTATCTACGAAACGAAAATATATCTTACGGAAATGTCAAGTTCACCAGATGGGCGGAAGGCCCCTCCTCCGAGGCTGAAGATTCAACTTCCTTTACCAGGCCAGTATTATCCGCAGACTGGTATGGGATACGTTTCAACCCCATATGGTCAAACTCCTATGCCGATGACACCGGTTTCCGGCCAACCGCAGATGCTTTACGCGAACAAAGCCAGCGAATTTGTATTTAGCCAGTTCAAAGGTATCAAGGATCTGACCAAATCTGGATTGAGCGTCGGCGAGAAGAGCGCATTTTGGCTTTACGAGAAGGTCTGCGGAATTTCGTGTGTGTCTCTTATGTGAATCACTGATCATCAGAATAAGTCTCCACTGATATCGGTATTACAAATTTCTGCACAGGTCAGTTCCTGGAGCAAACGATGGTTCACGCATATTTTCTTATTTGTTATCGTGCTTTTGTACAGTATTGGAGGCGCGATGATATTTGTCACGATCGAGGGAACCAACGAAGAAGTGGCGCATGGTAACATTCGAAAAGAAAGGTGAGTATAAAGATGAAATTTTTGAAAAATTTTTTTTTTTGTATTTGATTTATAATTTCAAATATATAATAATTTTTTATAAGTAATATCCGATAACCAAGAAAGTTTTATCGTTTCTTTTTTTTTTATGGAAAGAAAAGTGCAAAAAATATAGGAAACAAATTTTTTATTAAACTATTTTTAAAAAATGATCAATTATTTAAAAATCATAATATTTTTAAGTTTTAAAGATGATTGTTTTAATAAGAATTATTAAAGTATTATAAGTATTATTACAAATTTAGCAATTATTATTTGCTAAATTTTAATTATACATATATTGATTGATTTTAAGTCTTAATCATTATAGTTTTTTTTTAAAAACAACGTTGTATAAGTTTTATATAATTTTAAATAAAACTTTTTTGATTATTTAATTTAATTTAGAATGTTATTATAAATGTTATTGTAATATATTTTATATTATATAATTATTTTTATATGATTTTATATAATATATAAATTAATCTTAAATTTAAATATTTAAGTTATTAACTTTATAATTTATAATGTTTATAAATAATTTATAATAAAATTATATAAAAAATATAAAAAATTACTAATATATCTAAATAAAGTTTAATAGAATTTACTTAAGGAAAAGAATAAATCAGATTAAATATTATTATATATAGTCAGATTAATAAATAAACTGAAATTTTTATTAAATATAAATTTAAACATCTATAAATTTTACATCTCAATAAAATTTACTTAAAAATAATAATAGTTTTAAGAAGAAATCTTTTTTATTAAGATTGTATACAGAATGAAAAATGAAAAATTGATTTCTATTTGTTACACATGCTTCTTTTTTTTTCATATAAAAATCTTTCATATATCGATATCATTTATTATTTCTAATAGAAGGAGTGCGAAATTTTCTACACTCAATAATCCATTGGCTATTTCACATTTGACATGAAGATTATTAGTTTATGCTTTCAACTCAAAGAGAGAAGAGTGATGTATCTATTTTGCACGCACACAAACATGTTTTAACCTTCATTCCAAGGAAAACGAGCTTGAAGAAGCACAAACGTAACGACAGAACCATAGATAACATTATATCGTTTTTATCGGGAAACTCGACAATATCAGTGAGAAAATATGGGACAATCGAACGCGTATTAAGACAAACACGAGAAAATAATATATAATATATTGTTTTATTTCACTATCTTTGTTCCCGTGACCTAACTTTTATTTATTTTAATCCGATTTCATGTACGATATACATGAATTTTTTCATGAAAAATAAAAAATAATTGCATTTTTCTTTGTATGCTTACTCAGATATTTTTCATGTTACAAAAGAAAATAAATTTTTTTTGTATAAACATACTATATTGTAGCAAAAAAATTTGGAATATTAATTTTTTGTGATTCCTTTTTTTTCAATAATTACATTTAATATTTGATTATAAGTAAATTATTGCTTTAAAGTGAAATTTTATTTTTCTCAAAAATTGGTATCATTTTTTTAATTTAAAAAATTTTTGCTGCGATATTTTAGAAATCAACAAAATTTCTTTTTAATATCATTCATGTGAAATAATATCAAGTTAATACTCGTTTATTTTGACTTGATTGCGATGAAAACAGGCAAAACATTTATGGCAACATTTGTGTACATACGTATGAATCGTTAACTATGTTTGAATCGTAATCTGATAATGCCAAAGCTTTGTATCACGCAAGCATGTTTCAAATTATCGTGATAAGATTTTATTTACAGTATGCATCCTCTGCATTCCTTATCCTTTTGAAATTGCATGAAAACAGTCTTCATAAATATTCAAATAATTTATTGAAGTAATATGATATTTAATTAAAATAATATGAATTCAATAAAAGTGTTTTCCCGATATTATTTTAATATAAATTAAATTTTGTTACAAATGATTCTAATTTTTTATACCTTTTAATTTTTATCGAATTTTTCTTAATCTTTCATTTCTTTTCACAATTTGGCCATAATACAAACAATATTGAAATTTACAGCTAATAGTTTCTTTAATGTAAGAAAAAGTAAATTACAGTGATTGTAGCCAAAAATGTCATCTGATAATTTACCTTTTTATAAGTTTTGTTGGCAAAAGTAAAGAAAGTTTGAAGATTTGTAAATTCGATCATGATATCTTGTTCTTAAATATTTAATTATTTTAATTATTGAATTTTTTAAATGCTTACTATAGGATATTTAATTTTCAAAAAATAATTATTCTTTAATAATTTTAATTTCATATTTTAAAACAGTATAAAGATTTATTTTAATTATGAGTACTGTAAAAAAATTTATTTTAGTTATTAATTTCAATTATTCTTTCAATGAAAAAAATAAACAAATAGAATATTCTAAATATAGCAGAACAACTACATTTAGCAAGAATATTTAATAAATAATACAATGATATAAAAATTCATAATTATATCATTTAAAATTATAATTTCTGCAGAATTTTTTAAACATTTAACTTTTATAAATTACTTTATTCAAAAATCTTTTAAACGTCTACCATTTTCTTCTTCATTAAATTTAAACTCAATCATCGCTATAATTAAGTTGAAGAGTTCTCAAATCTTTTTGAATCAAAATTCAAAAAGATAATTCAGAATAAAAAAGTTACTACTTCTATAATTTTCAAATTCATTTTCATCATTTAAACTGTTTCATCTTGTCTCATTTGTGATATTTTATTCTTTCATCTTTATGCAAAGTATAAAAGTGGAATTCATAAGAATGTCCACGACTTCCTTGACTTATTCCACTTACCAACAACAATTTCGTCTTGTTTGAAGGAGAATCGATTTTTCCACCATACGTTCATTTAAAGAAGAATCGATTGACCTTAAAAGGAAGGTCAAGTTTAACACGGGATTCGCGTCTGACCTCTCTTTTATTCGTTGAAAAAGTAACTATGACGTGATCCGATAGAATTCTGGTGCCCAACCGATAAGTCGCGAGAGTTGTTTAAAAATTATCGATTTTTGACACTTATTTATTTTAATATTGATTTTTGAATTTTATAGTTATTATTAGTATATTGAATTAATAATATAGCAATAGTAAGTTAATATATGAAATAATTAATATTTGAATTTTCATATCTCGATTTTTGTCCCATTTTAACAAGAGGAAAACTTTAAGAAAAACTTTAAAATATATGTAAAATATAAAATTGATAGAATTGTTTTTGAATTGATTATTTTATTTATTTATATTTTTTTATTTTAATTTAAGAAATTTGACCAATTTGCATGCAAAACATAAATAAGAAAAATCAATAAAATTATATTATTGTAACTTAAAAATAATTAAGCTTGTTTTCATTTCATTCATAAAATTTTCATGTTAAATATAAAATAAAATGAAGTAAAATAAAATAAAATAAAATAAAATAAAATAAATTGTATTTATTTGTATCGATTATTTCTGTGTTTATATACAATCATATAAATAATTGCAAAAGTGATTTAAATATTTTGATTTGATTCAATTACTTTGATAAAAAATTTTAATTTTAATATATTTATATAAGATTTGGATGAGAAAGAAATCACAAATTATAACTATGATATTAAAAACAGAAAAAACTCAAATATATTAAATATTTAATATATTTAATAATAATAATTTTATAATTAATTAATTAAATTATTTATATTTAATACATTTAATACATTCTTTTAAAAATATTAATAAATACATTTTAAATATTAATTTGAAATTATTATTATTGCAAAAATATTTCTAAAATATTTATTTTTAATTATTTACTTTATATCTATATTTATACTTTATAAGTATTTATTTTATACTAAATATACTTTACTTCATTATATTTATCTTATCTTTTATAAAAGAGAATTTGCGAATTTATAAAAATTGCAGATTTTTTTTTAAAAATCGGGGGAATCGCGAAAAAAAGTTTGAGAAACACTGCGATAAAAGGAAGGAAAACATGTGTCGTGATTCAAGTACTCAGTGTTAACGACAATAATCTTTATAAATCTTTTTTCCTTTCCCTTTTATTAGTAGAAAAATAATTTATTTTTTTCTGTGAATTCTAATATGTATAAGGATATTAATTGAAAGAAACTTAGAAATAAATTTAAAAATAAGTTGCAAATGTGTTTCAATATTGTTTTAAATATAATATAATAACTTGATGCTTAAAATAATCAAGAAGGTCAGTTAGAAGTAATTTAAAAAGAAAGAATTTTATATACGCATTTTTCTAAGTCAAATATCACATATATATTAAAACAAATATTTTTATTTTATCCTTTTTTCAGATTGATTCAAGATTAAAGATTGAATTTTTCTTGAGTTATGTAAATTTTTTTTTATTATTTATCAAGATTGAAAATTTTTACAGAAATTAAATTTTTTTTTTTAGAAATTTTTTTAAAAGTTTTCCTCATTAATTAACAATAAAAATTTAAATAATTAACAATAAAAATAAAAATTTTTTTAAGAAAAGAAATATTTTTTTTTCATAGATATATATATATTTAAAATATAAAGTATACATATATCTATAAAAAAATACATTAAATATAAGATTCCTAAGAAAACTTTTCTCAATGAAATTAAAAATTCAGAAGAAGAAATTCAAGGATGAAATTTCCAATGATTCAATTTGTTTATGAAAGATTAAAAATCTATGATAGAAATATTTTTAGAAAGAGAAAATAGAAAATATGATTTATTTAATATAAGAAATTACAAATGTTTAAAATTTTAATAAAATAGTTTATTTAATAAAATTATACAAATTAATTGATGGTTTAAGCTTCATGTTTTTTATTATAATGTTTATTATATTAATTACATTTAATGATAATGTAATTATATTATAAAAATATATATTATATATATACGTTAAAATTAAAATCAAACAAAGTCTGCAATACAATTATCGACGAGTCTAGACAGAATCGAATCGTTTGGTATGTTTGTCAACCTATTTCGTCATTTCCTCCAATAATTCAGTTATGTTCGAGCTATTTAGACGAATCACGAACGAATCAACATGCAAAAGAAAACCGATGATTTGATTGCTCTTTATTTAATGAAACGAAAAAAAACTGCAATGAAAAGGAAAAGAAATCTATCTAGTAATTACAAGTCTCAAGAAATAATTCAGAATATACACATACATAAATATATCATTTTTTTTTCTAAATTGCAGAATTTATTATTTGTATAAAACGTGTTTTATTTTTATATATTTTATTTATTTATTTATTTTTGTTTCTTTTCCTATTTTTTTATATTTTAACTGCACAATAAATATCTATATCAGAAAGTTTTTTTTTTCACGTTAAATTAAAATAAAAGAAAAAATAAGAACGAAAGATAAAATTGTTATGAGCATTTCGAGCTTGAATTATTTAATTAAAAATGATACTCTTATTATACTATTACATGTATTATTATTAGATAAAATGATATCTTTCGATTTACTTCTGGGAATAACATTTAAAACAAATTTAGGTTTAATTTTTTTTTTTTTAATTTCACTGTAACTTGGATCTATCTAAATGCAAAGTTTCTCTGTAACCTAGATCTATCTAAATGCAAAGTTCATATAATATAATATAACATGTACTAATACTAGATAAAAATTTGGAAATTATTATTTTTTTTCCTTTTCATTAAATCCTTTTCTAATTTTGTTATTAATTTGAAATATATTAGATATCAATAATAATTTCATTTAAGATAACTTTTTTTATAAAAGATAATTGAACTCTAAACTAATCTCTTACTTTTTAATATTTATTTGAATTTTATTTGGATTCTTAGATATAAGGTTTTAATGATTTCAAAATTTTAATTGGTGGTAATTTTCATATTATAACCTATTAATTTTTTCTCATATTGCTGAAAAAATTAATCAAAAAAAAAAAAAAAAAAAATGAAAAGCTAAGAAAGAATTTAAAAGAATCTAATCTATTATTTTAAATGAAATAAAGTGTACAATCGAATATCAGAAATTTCTGTCAATTAATGTTTAAATGTGTAATAATGTATAAATGTGTAAACAGGGACAAAACATTGATCACGATTAGGGAGTTGTGCAACGATCAGGTACTGGCTACGAATTCGGATCTTTGGAATGGACGAGCGAGGAATGAATTGATGAAATACGAGGAACATTTGTACGATTATTTCAAGCGTGGGTTGTCGGATCATGAGCAGAAAGTGTGGACCTTTTGGAACGCTGTGTTTTACTGTGGTACCATTTACACCACCATAGGTGAGTCACGATATTGAGAGAGAAAATAAAATATATTTTATTCTTGCATGAAATATAAGGTGAAACAAAAAAAAAAACAGAATCTCAGACTTAGAAGTGCAAAATTTTTGTAAAATTCATTTTTGTCACGAAGGCTTTGAAATTTTTGATCTTTGATTTTCTTAAGCATGTTTTTAGATATTAAAATATTTTTTTTTTACTTTTTTTAATTTTTAAACATCTTAAGAAATTTCTTGATAAAATTCAAATTTTAAATATTAGTGTGTATATGAAAGATACTTTTTGTTTTGTTCTATCTTTTATTGCATATTTAAACTATTTTTCATTTCAATTATATACATTTTATTTAAATTGAATAATATTTTACATTAAATTCATTAAGATTTTCACATCTTAATTATTTCAAGCTGAAAAAATTGAAATATTTCTAAATTTTATTGAATTATTATTCATGCATTTCTATTAGTTTTATTGGATTTTTAAATTTTGGTTTTAAATTATATAATATATATATATTTCTATTTTCTTCATATATGTATATTATATAAAACCTTTAAAAGATTATACAAAATATACAAAATAAATTTAATATTTTTTTGCAATCATAATATTTGTAAAAAGTAAATATTTTAAATATGGCTATATATGAGAAAATAATATAGAATTCTTTATATAAAAAGAATTTTTCAAATTTTATACAATTAAAAAATATTCTTTGTATCAACTCATAAACTTGCTTCAAATATTCTATAAATATTCTAAAGAAATACCAAATTGTATGAAATAAAAACTAATTGATTATATAAAACGAAATCGAACGTATCATATTAATTCTCAAGTTTTCTTGTGTCGATTATTCTTCTAAAAATAAAATAAAAAAAAAAAGAAAAAAAAAATTGAAATCACAGGAGAATCAAAACTTATTATTAAATATTAAAATTGATGAAAAAGAAATTATGTCAATTGTTTGTTTTTCACTATTGAAAAAGATTCTTTTTAATCAACAGGTTTTTCAATAAACAAGAAAAATTATTATATTATAAAATTATTAATATTACAAAATTATTATTATACAGTAGTTTGTTATTCGAACGATTCAAATATTTTTACAAAAGAATCGATCGTATCTCGAAGAATTTGCGAAAATATTATTCCATTTGTTTTTAAATTGTTGTATTAATACTTATTTCATGTTAAATTACTTTTTGCAAGGAAATTCTGGTAGAAATATTGAATCAAAATGAAAATGATATTTTCGAAAGTTCAGTTCATTCAGAAAATGAGAAAACAATAATGTTTTTTAATGAATGAACTTCTTCTTTTATATTTTAAAATGTTAAAAATTTAATTTATTAATTTGGTTTCAATTTTATCATTGTTATTTTTCCATTTTCCAACTAAATATTCGAAAATATCAAATAATTTTGAAAACTTTAAAAATTTTATTATCAAATTGATTTCAAAGTTAATTTTATATTCCATTATTGTTATTTTTCTATTTTCTAATTAAACGTTCGAAGATTTACATATAATTTCTTAAACGTGAAAATTTCAGTTTCATTAATAATTTTAAAAACTAAGTTAGAAAATTATTTCCACTTAATATCATGCGTTATCTAATTGGTCCTTATGGTTAATGAAAATGATCAACGCGTGAACAATTGGTTTCTATTTAGAAGGTTGCACTTGACCCCGATATGAAATTGATTTTCTGGTGCAAGAGTCGCTCGAATATCTGAAACATTTTGATTATTTCACAACATCTGATGATTGAAAAAATGTTTTGTATGATATTCGATCACATTAATGGAATCTTTTTTTTTTCGAATCATTTGATCGTGATGAATTCAATATATTCGATGATCGATTGCATTCAACACAAAAAATTTTAATAAGTAATTTTAAATTTAATAAATATTTTAATAAATATACTAACGTTCTCGAAATAGATCACAGTAGAACATTGTTTATCTAAACGTCTATTATTCGAAATTTAGTCAAATGATGAATACTTAAATTAACATATTGTTTATATTTTGCAATATATATTCTGGAATCTTAGAGAATAATTAATTTATTTTTTTACACGATAAAATATTTGAAAATTGTTTAATTTTTACTTGTTTTATAATTATTTTATTTTTCCTTTTGAATAATGCATGCTCTATTGTATATGACTATGACTTTATCATTATTGATATTAATGTTTTGGAAATAATTACTTCATTACCAATAGAATAATTATCCTATAATTGATGTCCTAAGATAATATTGGATTGTACAATTGAAAAATTATCTCTCACGGATCTTTTCTTTTCTATCGATTCAGAAAATTGAATATTAATCACATTAAAATAAACACAAAAATAATTCTATACAGAAGCGATTTACAAACACAAACGTTCTTTTCATTACAAATATCGGGAACGGAAATCACCTAGAAATGTGTTACCGGGAGCGAAAAGATGATTCGAATGCTCTTATTTACGTATATTATTGTTTATAAATATTTGAATATATATTTGCATTCATTTATAATACATGCACTAGAATGATTGAAATAATAATAAAGGTAAAACTGATGTTTAAGGGTAACTTCAATAACCTTGTTCTTCATATAAGTATATATTGTATATATCGTCGAAAAAGTTTTCTTGAAATAACTTCTAAAAGCTTTTAGATATTTCGTTATTCTTTGAAAAATTATTGATTATTAAAAATAAGATATTTTCCAAGCAAATATCTTAAATATTTATGTGTTAAGAAAAGAAAAAAAAATATTTGTTTTGTATATATAAAATTCCTTTGTTCTGATTTTAATGGTCCAATATTTATAATCGAAAATGAAAAAATAGTACAAAATATTGAAACATATCCATTGTGATTGTTATTTCAAATAACGAATATTAATTTATGAAATTATGGTAAATAATTATGAAACGAATAAGAAACTTCGCTTCTTCTTTCATTCTAAAATAATCTAACCTAAAATTCAGGTTTGATTTATCTTATCTGGATAAATTAGTTAAATTAATTAAATTAGTTTATTGTTAAACAATTTAAAAATTTATATTTTACTTTTTTATTCGTTATTGTTTATTTATTATAAAAAAATTAATTATTTGTTAATTTCTTTGGTGATTTTATTATTATAATAAAAATACGAACATGTTTATTCTTTCACGATTGGTTTTTGTATATAAAATGCTCCCAAGACACATCGTTTTAGATTTTATAATATTTTACTTTTTATTTTATTGTTTGTTAAACCTTTGTAGAAAAAATTTTTCAAATAATAAAAATATTTCATAATATTCAATTTTAAAGATATCAATTTTTATTAAAAATAATTTTATTATGTTGCAATATTTCATATAATTATGAATAATAATACAGAATAAAATTACTTATTAGCAATTTGTTAATAAAATTATAATATTATATCTGTCAAAACAGATATATCTTAAAAAATTAATTTTATCATGTTACAATATTTAACACGGTTATAATAATAATCAATTTACATCCTGCCAAAGATAAAGCACAACATAGATGTGCTTTCAGATAATTTTCAACAAATAATAAAATTATTCATTAAATTACAAACAGTTTAAATTTACGTGAAATGAAATAAAACAGATATAAAGTTATCTTCATCGCACCATTGCCTCATCCTATTTCCGTCTCTCTTCATTTAACACAAATTTCAATTGCTTATAATTTAATAAATAAGCCTCAACCGACATTTTTGTATACCAACTTTTATATTTGTTTTGGGTTCTAAAATCGATCATCCAAAAGATTCCACAAATATATTACGTAATATGTTTATGTATAACATATTAACAAATATGTTAATACCTTGTATATCAAAAATAGGAAATCACGATTTTCTTCATTTTCCACATAGAAGATATATTCTAATATATCCGTGATCTATATAAAACTATTTTCGATAGAATGATTATCTTTTCACGATGTAATATCTGCAAAAGATACGCGATAACCTTCTATTCTATTACATTGATTTACACACGAACGCGAAAAGCTTTGGGATATTTACAGAATTGAGATTCGAGAGGTCTTTGCCTCGTTGGCTCGTGTGAACGGAGTGAAAATCGACGCGGATAAAACAATCATTGAAGAAATAAACTGCGAAACTCGAACAATGCAGTTTTTCGTTCAACACTGATGGATCAGTGTTATTATAGCGACATAAGTTTATTATGACAGATATATTTTCGGTGGCATTAACTGTTGTCGATTCTTAACCTATTATTTTACAGTTTGGAAGTATTGTACTGTAATTGCAATTTTTCTAAAGCGATTAGTATAATTATCTTTTCAAAGCAATAAATTTGTTCTTTTTTAAAGACAATTATTGTAATACTTTTTTCATCTGTAATTTTTTAATTTTTTGTGAGATGAGAATTACTTTTGTTAAGATCAACATGAAGGATCTGGGGCTGTAAAGCATTTTAGTATCTCCTAAAAAGCAATGAAAAAGTGTTTAGTAAAGTTCTAAAATCAATATTTTTAGTATAGACTATTATTCTATATCTATATATCTAACTATATATTTATGAGGTTTCATTTATTTCTTAGCAATAAATTTGATAGTATTTTACTTTTTACATATATTTTTTTATTATTTTTTTTTTTAGAGCTTGTATTATTTTCTTACTTGTAAAGTAAAAATTACTTTTATTAATATCAGAGTTACTAATAATTAATTTGAAAATTTAGATTTCTAAGAATTTTTAATATTTATCAAAAGAAATAAGATATGTTTAATCAAATTAATTAATTTTACAGTTTGAAATTTGAAATAAATCATTTATATTTCACATTTATATTTCTTTGTTTATTTTTTAATCATTTTTTTTATTTATTAAATGATTATTAAATGAAAAATAGTGTTAGAGCTTTTATTAATATTCAATTATATAAAAAAAAAATATTATATTTTTTTAAGTATTTTTAGTATTTAAGATAACAAAAAATTATTTAAAGATAA